TAAATATCAAAAAATTCTCTCCCTAAAAAATTAAAAWAAGTAAAAAACAAAGATTGAGTAAGATAAGGGTTTAGGGTGAGAAGTACAAAGGACCAGAGAAGATTACTACAAAAGAGGCTACTTAAAATGTTTGAAAATGTTATGACTAGGTGAGAAAGCAGGGTGGATTAGATAATGGTTTGGTTATTGGAGAGAAAGGACTGACTTGAGAAATCTGTTAGTGGTTGAAGTTAGGGACTGAAGAGATGAGGATGATTTCCTGATGCCTGAGTTGGACACTAGCATCTGTGAGATTGGGACTGTCTGGTAAGGAGCCAGTTTGGGAAGAAGGGAAAGTAGTAACAATGAGTCTAGTTTAGAAAATGTTGGACTGGAGAAATCACTGAGGCATCTTAGTGATACCAGTCTTGTATACTGTGTTTACGTGAGTCTACTTTTAAGGAGAATGAACTGGGCATGTTATTCCTGCTTTTTAAAATAACTAATAATAAGAAATTAATTTTATCTATTTAGTATTGGGCATTTCACCACTAAACTACACCCCCAGTCCTTTATTTTTAAAAAAAAATTTTTAAAAATATATACATTATTATTTTAAAATATTTATTTGTTTTTTAGGTGTAGATGGACACAATACAATGCCTTTATTTTTATGTGCTGAGGATCAAACCCGGGCCCCGCCYGTGTGAGGCACGTGCTGAGCCATAATCCCAGCTCTATAGTATTTTTTTAACATGGTGCTGAGGATTGAACCCAGGGCCTCACACGTGTAAGGCAAGAGTTCTACCGCTGAGCTACAACCCCAGCCCCCTTTAGTTTTTTATTTAATTTTATTTTTTATTACTCTATTTTCTACTGGGGATTGAACCCAGGGACACTAACCGCTGAGCAATACTTCCAGTCCCCTTTTTTTGGATACTGGGTATTGAACTCGGGCACTTGACCATGGAGTCACATCCCCAGCCCCCACCCCTCTTTTATTTTTCTTGCTTTTGTTGGCCTTTATTTAATTATAGAAGAAAGTAAATACCTTTTCCTTTTGGGGCCATTTGTGTATCTTTCTCTGTTAAATGTGTGTCACATTTACCTATCTTTTTTTTTTTTTTTTTTTAGTTGTAGTTGGACACATTGTCTTTATTTTTATCTGGTGCTGAATATTGAACCCAGTGCCTCACACATTCGAGGTGGGCACTCTACCAATGAGCTACAGCCCAGCCCACATTTACCTATCTTCTACTACGTTTTCTTTTACATGGCCAGGGTATAAATCTTTGTGAACTTAGAAAAAACACCAATATTTGTAGTTTTATATACATATTTCAAATGAGATGCTCACTGTTTTCTAACATTGTTTATTGCTTGGAAAGACTCTTCATTATCAGAAAAGTTTGAACATTAATTTTGTAACTAGCCGCCTAGATGACATTTATTATATTGATTTTAAGAGGTTTTTTTTTTTTTTTAGTTTTAAGAAATTTTCTAATTAGATAACACTCTCATGTACAAGTGATGATGTTGTCCTTTCTTCTTTTCTTCCAGTGTCTATCTATGCCTCTTGATGTTAGTTTTCTGATTCTGTGTCAGAACATTGAGAGGTGGGACATAAAAGGAGGAAAGACTTGGCTCAGAGGCTCAGAGGCTTCAGTCTGTGATCAACTGGCTCCACTGCTTTGGGGCCTGTGGCAAGAAAAAACATCCTGGTGAGGAACATGTAGTGSCAGCGTTGTGCTAGTCAGGAAGGACAGAGAGGGAGAGGAAGGGGCAGGGGTTCCAATTTCCCCTTTAAGGCACACCCCATGTGATCTCACTTGTGTCTACTTGGTCCAATGTCCTAAGCCTTCCACCAGTGGTCACTAGTGCCACAGGCTTGACTCAGTCTGGGGGGCACAAGCTTTGGGGGTCATAGAAGGCACAAGCTTCGCAGACTTCTCTCTGTTGTTTAATTCAGATGGCCTTTATCTCCTGAACAGAACTGAATTATCTTGTTAACCCCTTGCCTGCATCTGAGTTGGGATGCTGACACTGCTTCCCTATTAGGTGGTTCTGTGTCCCAGCCCTATATTGTTCTTTATTTAGACCACAGAGTCTCACTGAGTTGCTTAGCATCTCACCATTCCTTAGGCTTGCTTACCCGCCCCAGTGCTTTTTATTTTTTTAAACTTTGAGACAATCTTGTTAAGTTCCTGAGACTGGCTTTGAACTTGCCATCCTTCTGACTCAACCTCCTAGGCTGCTGGGGTTATAGGCTTGCACCACCATGCCCAGCTTGTTACTCTATTTTTGTTACTATTATTTTTGTGGTACTGGATGTTTAATTCAGGCACACTCTATCACTGAGCTACTCCCCAGGCCCTGCCCCCTTTTTTGAGGCAGGGTCTCCCTAAGTTGTTCAGGCTGACCTTGATTTAGGATTTTCCTGCCTTGGCCTCCCATGTAACTGGGATTTTTAGGGATGTGTCACCATGCCCATCCTACTTTTATGAATTCTCAGTGATTGGGTTTCCTTAGCATTTTATAAAAGTTGGATTCTTATTTTTTACTGGTACTGTAATATGTTTAATCACTCCCATATTAGCACCATCCTTAGTGAGAAAATTGGATTTATTACTTAGATTTTGGCAGATTCAGAGAAAGATCTTTAGTAAGTGAAGTGGTTGCTGGTTCAGATTACCTGTGAGTTTGTCCCTATCATTTGCCGTTTTTACTGATCACAACCTTGGAAAACTAAAAAAAGTCTTTATACATTAAAAATGAATACTTGTGAGTTGGAAGACAATATTGATATTAATAGAAGGAGCTGTTTAAGTACTTTTATTTTAGCCACCATAAAAATGTGTCATTTGGAAAGTATAGGGATTGGCAGCTGACTCGGCAGTTAACTCTCTAGTTGTAGTGTTAGTTGATTTCTTGTATGGCATCTGTTGCTGTGCATAAAGTAAATTCATTACTTGCCATTTGAATTTGAATGTGGCTGGGTGATGGTGAATTCTGTCAGGATGGTAAGGAAAGTTACAGTATATTTGGCACTTATGCCAATATCTCCCCCTGTCTCTCTCATGAAGAGACTGAACAATTACTAAATAATCTGGTAAATGTACTATTATTGGAGACAACATGAAAATGGATATTATGTCAAAAGTTATTTTTAGGATTTTAATTTTCATAGTGCTGGTAATTGAACACAAGGCCTCATGCATGTGAGGCAAGTGCTGTACCAGTGAGCTATATCCCAAGCCCTGGAATTTATTTTTTAATCCTAGGAAGCAGCAAGTGTTCCCAAGGCAGGCTGGAATGCATTTTTTTTTTTTTAATGTTTTAGATGTAGGTAGACACAATACCTTTATTTTATTTATTTATGTGGTGCTGAGGTTTGAACCTAGTGCCTCACACGTGCTAGGCAAGTGCCTTACCACTGAACCACAGCCCTAGCCCTGGAATGCTATGTTAATATGCATTAGTATATGCATAAGAGTGTTATAAACTGCCTGTGAGAATGTGGTCATCTTGTTTTACTATAGACTAATTATTTTTTATTTATTTTATTTTTTGATACTGGCAATTGAACCTAGGGGCACTTTACCACTGTGCTATATCCCCAGACCTTTTTATTTATTTTTGTTATTTCGAGACAGGGTCTTGCTAAGTTGCCCAGGCTGGACTCAAACTTGTGATCTTCCTGCCTTAGCCTCCTGAGTTGTTGGGATTACAGGCATGCCCTCTGGTGGAATGATTCTTAAACTTGCTACTCATCTGAGCTCTTATTCTTTTCTTTCTTTCTTTCTTTCTTTTTTTTTTTTTTTTTTTTTTTTCTTTCTTTAAACGGGGATTGAGGGCTGGGGCCCTTTGCCACTGAGCATCCCTACTCCTTTTAGTCAATTTTTTATTTTGAGACAGGATCTTCTAAATCTTCCAGGCTGGCCTTGAGCTTGTGATCCTTCTGCCTCCTGCCTTAACCTTTTGAGTTGCTGGAACAGGTGTTTTTCACTGTACCCTGGCACTGACCTCTTAAACTCTTAGTCCCTATGCCTTGTTTTATTTTGGTTTTCCTTTTTATCCCCCCTTTTGAATTGGGGTTTGAACCCTGGGGCATTTTTACCACTGAGTCACATCCCCAGTCCTTTTTTATGTTTTAATTAATTATTTTGGGGGTTAGCAAGGATTGGACTCAGGGACACTTGACCATTGAGCCACACACCCAGCCATATTTTGTATTTTATTTACAGACCGGGTCTCACTGAATTGCTTAGCTTTGAACTTGAGATCCTCCATTAACACTTTTAGGTCACATCAGTGCCCCCTGCTTAAAGCCATATTTTCAGAGTACTTATAAGGTAAAAGTATAGAGCAAAAACACTCAAAGACTTGGTAAAACCTAAATAATTTGGCTTTGAACCTGAGGTCCTCCTTCTTCAGCCTCCAGAGCCTCCGGGATTATAGGCGTGCGCCACTGTGCCTGACAGAGCAAAACATTTTCAAAATTCAAGGGTGTAACTTACACGTACACACATTGGGAATGGTCGGGTTAAGTGTGTAAAAACTGCTTATGTCATTTTTATTTTGAGACAGAGCCTCACTAAGTTGCTGAGTGTGGCCTTGAATTTGGCGATCTTCCTGCCTCAACCTCCTGAATTGCTGGGATTATAGGTGTGTGTCACCACTCCCAGCTATTCCTTTTTCATATGATATTTTTTCTTGGGAATTTTTAGTACTGTGTGAGCCTTGTAAAGTGAAATGAAATTTTGTTGAATTGAGGAAATGACATTTATACTAAAATACTAATATTTTATTTGTAAAATGTGATAAATCATTCTAATTGTACTTTAGTTCTGATCTTGCTTTGGACTTGCCACTTGAAAACCCTGGTTTCATTTCTGTCTTTTTTCCTGCTATAAATTATAGAAATAGTACTGTAGATTTTTTTTCTATAAATAATTATTTTATGAGTATGGATTGGATGTCTCTGTTACTTGAATATTGTTTTCCTGAGCTGCTGCCAACAGAGAGTATGAAGCCCGCTTGGAAAGGTACAGTGAACGCATTTGGACATGTAAGAGCACCGGAAGCAGTCAGCTAACGCACAAGGAGGCCTGGGAAGAAGAACAGGAAGTTGCTGAACTGTAAGTAATAGAAGCCCTGCCTTCTGGCCCCATCTTCACCTTGTTAGGAAAGGATGGAATAATAACTCTTAATGCAGTATTTGTTTTCAAATATATGAGGCATTAATTGGAATATATATGATAGTGTACTGTATTAGTGTCAGGGGCCTTTATCTTCGTGGTATTTTGCTAGTAGCAAAGTGGGGACAATACATATTTATTTAGGTTTTACCAGGCCTTTGAGTGTTTTTGCTCTATACTTTTACCATGTAAATACTCTGGAAATATGGCTTTAAGCAGGGGGCACTCATGTGACCTAAAAGTGTAAATGGAGACAGCAAAAAGGCATAAAGTTTTCTTTGTTTTGTGGTCATTTGAAATTTCAGATGATATTTACAGCAGATGTCAAAAACAGATAACAGTTTGAGGACAGTTTAATAGAAAGGGTGAATTAGGTGTCTTAAAAAAATCATCTGTTCAAAATGCCTAGTTGTTTGAATGATCTCTCAAAGAAAACATGCAGAATTTGGGCTATAGGTTCATACAAAGAGATAAGTAGAAACTAGGGATGATAAAATAGTCCTTTTGGGAATTGGGAATAGGTGCTTTTTCTGGATTTCTTGTTGACTTGTAGCAGACAAGCAGGAGAGCATAGGATTTACTAATTGAATACTAGTGGGCTCTTTGTGATGGTCCTGCTGACTCATTGGTCAAGACGGCTAACCTGGTGCCTCTTCTTTGCTTATTGGCACATTCTCTCTGGGATTAGTGTTATTTGTATTTTGTGTGTGTGTGTGTTTGTGACACACACTTTATTTAATGTGCTAGACCAGGGGTTGGCCAACATCTTATAAAGGGCCAGTTTGTAAATATTTTAAGCTTTGTGGACCATATGGTCACTTGTCTCAACTAAACTCTTGACATTGTTAAACAGCTATAGATATTATATAAAGAAATGTGTAGCTGTGTTATAACAAAACTACTTACAAAAACTAGCACTGCCAGGGCCTGGTGGCTCACTCCTATAATCCCAGTGCCTAGGGCAGTGAGGCAGGAGGATTGGCCAGCCTCACCAATTTAGCAAGGCCCTAAGCAATTCATCGAGACCCTGTCTGAAAATATAAAAAGGGATGGGAATGTGTTTCTGTCTTTAAGCACCCCTGGGATTCAATCCTTGGTACTCAAACAAACAAACCAAAAAAACTAGCAGGATGCTGGATTTGGCCCACTGACCTCTATAAAAGACTGTAATTTTTTCCCCCTGGTGCTGGTGATTGAACCAGGGCATGCTAGGCAAGTACTCTGCTATTGATTTGCAGTATCAGCCTTAGCCTGTAAACATGTTTTTTTTTTTTTTTAATATTTATGTTTTAATTATAGGTAGGTACAATATCTTTATTTTGTTTTTATGTGGTGCTGAGGATTGAACCAAGTGTCTCACACATGCTAGGCGCGCGTGCTACCTCTGAGCCACAACTCCAGCCCAAACTGTTTTTTTTTCTCCTTTTTTTGAAACTGGAGATTGAGCTAYATCCTTATCCCTTATTTATTTATTTTTTGGTTATAGATGGATGCAATACCTTTATTTATTTTATTTATTTGTTTTTATGTAGTGCTGTGGATTGAACCCAGTGTCTCCCTTATGCCAGGCAAGCACTCTATCACTGAGCCACAACCCCAGCCCTTGTTTTAAAATTTTGAAACAGGTTCCTGCTAAATTGCAGAGGCTGGCTTCGGAACTTGTGATCCTCCTGCCTCAGCATTCTGGGTCATTAGGTTTATATGTGTGTGCCACTGTGCCCAGCTAGCCTGTGAACTTCTTAAGGCTAGAACTCATATTTGACTTATTCTTGAATTGGTTACAGTGCATAGCACAATCCTCTGCATTAAATAAGCAGATATTACTCACTTTTTTGCAAATACAACACTACCTTCTCCAGATGACTTTTTGGGAAAATTGTGTGTAAATATTCTTTGTAAATAAAAGATACCACCATTAGCCTACAAAAAGATAAAAAAGTAATAAAGGAGGATGTTATGGTTGTAGGAAATGTGATTATGTACCTAAAAAACCCAGTGAATCTGTTTAGTAAAAAGCTATTCTGAGCCAGAACGGTGGTGCACACCTGTAATCCCATTGGCTCGGAAGGCTGGGACAGGAGGATTGGAGTTCAAAGCCAGCCTCAGCAAAAGCAAGGCACTAAGCAACTCAGTGAGACTCTGTTTCTAAATAAAATACAAAATAGGTCTGGGGATGGGGCTCAGTGGTCAAATGCCCCCAAGTTCAATCCCTGGTACCAAAAAAAAAAAAAAACTGTTAGGAACAAATATGAAGATTCAGCTTCAAAATGAAAAATAAATTATTTCCCTACATACAAAGAAGTAAAGGTCAGATAGAATTTAGACTAAAGATATTAACCTGGAGATATTAGGAAAACTTCACAAGACTTCATGAAGAAGGTAACTTGGGTTTGTTTGTTTGTTTGTTTTGGTGGTACTGGAAATTGAACCCAGGGCTTTGCACATAGTAGGTAAATTCTCTGCTACTAAGCCTCATTCCCCAGCTCTATGAAGATAGCATTTGACACTTGTATTTATTTACTTACTTTTGAGGTACTGGGGATTGAACCCAGGGGGCATTCCCCTACTGAGGCATATCCCATCTTTTTTTTTTTGTTTGTTTGTTTGTTTTTGAGCTTGTTATCATTAAGTTGCCAATGCTAGCCTTGAACTTGTGATCCTGTTGCCTCAACCTCCTGAGTTGCTGGGTCCCTGCACTGGTGAAAGGTTGGATACTTTGTACCAAAATGTTTAAGATAGAAAATGTTTATTTGTATTTAATTCAGCAAACAGTGGAAGATACCAGTATTGAATAAGGGAGGCCTATGATAGTAGTTAGGCTTTGAAAAGATTGTCTAGAAGCAGCATGTAGAAAGAGTTAGGGAAGGAGGGGAATCTTTGTAACTGGAATAGTAGTCATGCAGGGATGCTTGGCGCAGGAATGCATGGCAGGAATAAAAAGGATGAGATTAACTCTCTGCTTCTTCCTAAAAAGAGTTTAAAAAGCCACTACAGACTTTCTCAGAAAGGCATACACATTAGCATATTAAAGATATTTAGAAGACCTGCAGTAGAGATACTTTTCACTAGGTTTTATATAATGGGTTTCAAACTTATTTGACCTTGGAACCTGTTACATCTGAGGGAAGTTCTGTAGAATGTACTTTGGAAATGTTTTACATGATTTGATTGCTATTAAAATATAGGAGGGTGGATGGAGAAATTATTGAAAAAGATTAGGAGGTTTTGAAATTTTTATTCAAAGTAAAAATCCTTTTTATTTACAAAAGTGATGCGTGGGCTGGGAGTGTAGCTTAGTGGTACAGTGCTTACCTCTAGCATGTGCAAGGCCCCAGGTTCAAGTTCTGTCACTGCCCCCCCCCAAAAAAAAAAAAAAGAAAAACAAAAGAAGAAAAAAGGAAGTAACACACCCTTGTTATAAAAATGTATGTGAGGGCTGGGATTGTGGCTCAGAGGGAGAACGCTTGCCTCGAGTGCATTAGGCACTGGGTTCAATCCTCAGCACCACATAAAAATAAAATAAAGATATTGTGTCCACCTATAACTAAAAAATAAATATTTTAAAAAAATGTATATGACATGGAGTAAAGGAATCTGAACATTATTGTCCAGCCTCACTCTCCAGAAATAACTAGCTATAGACCATGGAGCTTGAAACCTGAGTTTAATGGAAAGAGAGTGAATTTACAGGGGCCAGGAAAAGCCTCTTGGAATTAAGGAAATCTGAAAACATCTTGGAAGGTTGATTAAGCTGGGAAGAGGACACAAAGTCGGGGAAACTGGAACATATCGATCATGATTGTAGTATAGTAGATACCTTGGTGGATTAATTCATTGTAAGAGTATGGTAATAGATACGGTATAGTAGTCAGTAGTTATGAATTGCATAGAATGATGCAGAATACTCCTTGTTTTATTTATTTATTTTGGTGCTGGGAATTGAATTCAGGAGCACTGAACCACTGAGCCACATCTCTAGCCCTATTTTGTGTTTTATTTAGAGACAGGGTAAGAGTTGCTTAGCACCATGCTGTTGCAGAGGCTGGCTTTGAACTTGCAATCCTCCTGTCTCAGCCTCTTGAGCTGCTGGCAGAATATTTCTTATATATCACATTGTATCATGGTAACACAAAACCTAATACTGGTCTGCAGTTGTAGTTTTGTGGCAAATCACTTGCCTAGCATGCATTGGGTTCCATCCCAGCACTACTACCAAAACAAATAAACCAAAAAAAAGCAGAACAAAACAAACCTAATACTGGCATTTGCACTAATGTTCTCATCCCCCACCCCAATCCCCCCAAAACTATAAACTTTGGAATAAATATTAAATTATCTGGTCAAAATTGCATATCTAATAACTGTCCATTAAAGTTGCTTCCCATTTTCTGCTAAAAGAATCCAGCAGTGAGTATCTTAAAGTATATGGCAGTTTTGATGAATATTGTTCAGTTGCTTTCTAAAAGGGTTGAAAAATTAGGCCATCAGCAGTGTTTAGTTGCCATATCAGGTATGATAGTTAAGTATTTTTTGCTAATTTATAACTGAACAGTGGTACCTCAATGTTTTACTTGTAAAGGCTTTGGGATTTAAGTCATGGTTTCAACGTATTAACTATTCCTGATATAATTTCATTATCCATAAAATAAAAATTCTAGATACCTCAGAAGGTATTGTGAGAAGTAAATGAGTGAACCAGGCGTGGTGGTGCATGCCTATAAATCCCTGTGATGTGGGAGGCTGAGGCAGAAAGATTGCAAGTTTGAGGCCAGCTTTAGCAACATAGACCCTGTCTCAAAATAAAATGAACTTCGGGTGTGGCTTGGTTCTAGAAATCTTCTAGGTTTAATCCCCAGTCCTGGGGGTAGGGGGTAGGGGGTAAGGGGTGGGGAATGAATGGATGCATCTGAGAAATATCACAAATATAATCCAGTTATGTCTTCCTAACTAAAAACTGGATAAAGGATAAGAATAAATTCATAGATGAAAAGAAATTCACTCTCCAAAAACCAATTAATGGGAAAATATTTAAACTTACCTGTAATGTGCCTGTTATTTTCATTTATAGATAAGAAAGTTAACTTATATAGATCAATTGACAGAACTACTTTAAAAAGTTTTTCAGTTTTTCCCCTGTAAACTGTGTTTTTTAATCTTTGTATTCTCCTGGGCTGTAYATGTATTTGCTCAAGAAATATTTGCTTTGCTGTGATTCTAATACTGCTCTCAAAAGCTGAGTCTTAAAGTTTGAATTGACCCGAATTAAATTAAATTAAATATGTGGATAGGTTTTCTTCAGTTTTTAGTAGCTAACAGCATATTTACTTAGTTTGAAGGAGGAGTTTCCGACCTGGTACGAGAAACTTGTTCTGGAAATGGTTCACCACAACACCGCCTCCCTGGAGAAGTTAGTAGACACTGCATGGCTGGAAATCATGACCAAATACGCTGTGGGTGAAGAGTGTGACTTTGAGGTAAGTGTCTGTCTCTCCTATGATTTCATCCACTAATTCAGAATTGAAACTTCTGTAATAGACTACAGAGCCTATTTGTACATGTCTAAAATTGTATTATGTTTGATGTCTGGTTCATATGATATCAGGTATTCTGAGGACCAATTTTAGAACCACACTGACTATGTGGGAATATTTAATTCTGTGATTATTGCTACCTGGGTACCACTATATCTTTGCTTTCTCTTTGTTTTTTCTTTCTTTTTGGTAATTCTATTATCTTGGGTTTTTTTTTTTTTTTTTTTTGGTAATTTTTTCATACTTTAAAAGACTTTCAAAAACTTCAACAGCTGGTTATGGTGGCACACACCTGTCATCCCAGTGACTCAGAAGGCTAAGGTAGGAACATGACAACATGCCTCAGCAAATAAGTGAGACCCTGTGTCAAAATAAAAAACAAAAGACCTGGAGTGTAGCTCACTAGTAGAGCACCCTTGGGTTCAAGTTGTTACTATAACCATGACGAGAATAGACTTTTCTACTTAAACTTGTTTTTTAATTTTACAGCCCAAATAACTACAAGAAAACCATTATAAAAGCAATACCTAACATTAAAGCAATCCTTATATAATTCTTTTCTTCACCTTGATACTAGGGATTGAACACAGAACCTCATACATGCTAGGTAAGCATTCTCCCACTGAGCTACATCCCCAGCCATTTAAAAAATTTTTTTTAAACAATTGAAATTTTTTTTGGTACTGGGGATTCAACCCAGGGGCACTTAACCACTGAGCCACATCCCCAGCCCATTTTAAAGAAAAAATTTTTTTTAGTTGCAGATGGACACAATATTTTTATTTTACTTGTTTATTTATATTTATGTGGTGCTGAGGATCGAACCCGGTGCCACACACATGCTAGGCAAGCACACTACCACTGCCTGTTAATTTCATTTATATTACAACTACAGCACCCCTGCCAGCCTGTTTTTATATTTTATTTAGAGGCAGGGTCTCACAGAAATGCTTAGGGTCTCGCTAACTTGCTGAGGCTAGCTTTGAACTTGCAATCTTCCTGCCTCAGCCTCCTAAACCATTGGGATTAAAGGCATATGCTATCACACCTGGCTAAGAATTTAAATTTTTAAAAAATTTTAAAGTTTTAAAATTTCAAATAGCTTATTTAGGTTGATATGTATCAGATAAGAGAACTGTTAGCCATATACCTAATGGTGGTTACTATTTCTCAAATAGCCTAAATAAAATTGCTTTAGAGAGGTTCTGAAAATATATTCTTAGGTCCATGCTTGAGACTTCAGGAGGTTTAGAACAGGTCCTAAAGTAGCTATTCTAACAAGCTGTAGGATGGTAATGATGCTGTTACATTGGGCACCACACATTGAATAGTAGTGGCTTAAACAATAAAGGCATTTGATTATGTTACATAAAAAGTCTTAGAAGTAGACAGTTCCAAGGTTGGTGTAGAGGCTGGATGATACTGTCAAGCTCTCTTGCTTTTTTCAGTGTGTTGAGTTTTGGTCTTTAACTTTATTGCCTCTTGGTGTGAAATTGTGACTGTATTCAGAGTGAGGAAATGCTTTTCTTTCTGTTTTTCTTTTGACATTGCTGAAGATTGAACCCAGGGCCTTGAACTTGCTAGGGAAGTACTCTATCACTGAGCTACATCCACAGTCCCCAAAGTAATGCCTGTCTAAGTAGGATAAGAAGATTTTTCCAGAAGAATAAAAATGTGTCCCCTTTATCTTTACATGTCATTGGCTAGGTCTTGCCTTATGTATCCATCTTTAGCTGCAAGCTGAGAAAATGAGTATTTGCCTTTTTTCTTGAAAAGTCAGGCTGGCTGGACAGAGGAGGGCGGGGGAATGGCTTAAATAGCCAGCTCAGCAATTATATGTGCTACAAAACAGCTAGTAAGTATGAGGTCAAGATTCAAACTCGTGTTTATGGTTCCAAAGTCTTCCTCCTTTCTTGTTTCACTTATTGACTCTGATTTTCTGTATTTTGTAGCTGCTTCTTTTTCATTTGTAATGTTTGGGATTGCAGGTGAGTTTTTGTTTTATGATGCTTGGGATTGAACCCAGGGCCTTGTGCATGTGAGGGAAGCACTCTACCAACTGAGCTATATCCTCAGTCCCTGCAGGAGGGTTTTTTTTWAAAAAAAWTTTTAATATTTATTCTTAAGTTTTAGGTGGATACAATATCTTTATTTTACATTTATGTGATGCTGAGGATCGAACCCAGTGCCTCGTGCATGCTAGGCGAGCAGTCTACCACTGAGCCACAACCCTAGCCCTCGAAGGAGGATTTTAATCACATACTTTTTATTAGTGTCCTGGTAAGAAACAGATATCATACTTAAATGATATAATTGAATTGAGTTTAATAAAGGGCTGTTGATAACAGACAACAGTCCGATCAGGGACAAGGAAACTATCAGCCAGTGGGGAGACTGCATTTCTAAACCCCAAGGAAACAAGGAGAGTGAGAAAATGACAGGAATTTGAAGAGTAGCTTAGTTGTCAAAGAGTACTTTGTAATGAGATTTAACCAACCTGCTAGGGAGGCATTAAGGGAGTAAATAATACCCTAACCTCACTTTTCTTCTACTGTCTGACTTTCTCCTAATACTTACCAGGGACTGAACTCAACCAAATTCTGGAGAGCAGGGGAGGGAGCCTTTTGGTATGAACCAGTAAGGTCAGCCCATGTAAGCATAGAACAGTGTGGAGAAGAATGGTGATGGATTTGAAGTGGCAGAAAGAAAATACTCTGCACATATATATGCAAGATGGAAGAAGAAATGTTTGAAGCAAGAGAGGAAATAATTAGGGGGATATTTGCTTATAAACATGAAAAAATGTTTAAGCTCATTTGTAATAAAGGAAATCAAATGGAAACTATAGTGAGATAATATTGTACACATAAGATGAATAAAGTAATAACAAGAACTTATGATGCTCCTACCTCAGCCTCCCTGCCATTGAGATTTCAGGCATGTATTACTGCACCTGGCTTTTGATTACTTTTTATCTGTGACACTTCTGGCAAGGCACTGTATTCTGAATGTTAGTTTTTTTTTTCTAGGTTTGAATACACGATTATAGTTGATTTAAAATATAGCTTTATTGAAGCTAGGCATGGTGGTGACTGCCTGTAATCCCAGTGACTGAAGAGGCTGAGGCCGGAGGATCCCAAGTTGGAGGCCAGCCTAGGTAACTTAGTGGCATACTGTTTCAGAAAAAAAAAGAAAGAAAGATAAGGGCGCTGGGGATATAGCTCATGAGGGTAGAGCAGTTGCCTAGCATGCATGAGGCCCAGGGTTTAATTCCCAGTAAAACACACACATGCAAAATCCTTATTGCATTACAATTGACATGTTATAAACTGCACATATTTAAAAATTTACAAGCTGGATGTAGTGGTATATGCTTTAGTTCTAGCTACTGAGAATCTAAGGCAGGAGAATTGCTTGAGCCCAGGAGTTTGAGATTACACTGAATACCATAGTGAAATCCCATGTCAAATAAATAAAATGTACAGTTTGACAGATTTGGAGACATTTTTTACATTTTACACCTGTGAAACTTGCTGTAATCACTATAGGGAATATACTCCTCATACCTAAAACTGTACTTATGCTCTTTTGTAATCTCGTCCTTTTCCTTCCTGGTCCCCATCACTGATCTGTTTTCTGTCAGACCATTTTCTAGAGTTTTATATAAATGGATCATTTTGTATCTTTTTTTTCCTTTTGGTCTGGCTTTTTTACATTCAGCAAAATTATTTTGATGTGCATCCTTGTTACTGTGGTATCAAAGGTTGTGCTTTTTATTACTTAGTATTCCATTCTATGTGTAGACTACAGTTTGTTTATCCATCACCCATTGATAGATACTTTGGTTGTTTGGGCTAACAAAGCTGCTATGAAGATACGTGTACAAGTCTTTGTATGAATATAGATTACTTTATCTCTTGGATACATACCTAGGTGTGGAATGACTAGGTCACAGTAGTACTCATAGGCTTTTGTGTTTTTTTTAAGATGTYGATGAACCTTTATTTTATTCATTTGTTTATATGCAGTGCTGAGAATCAAACCCAGTGCCTCACATGCTAGGCAAGTGCTCTACCACTAAGCCACAATTCCAGCACCCCATAGGTTTAACTGTAAAGAAATTGCCAGATTGTTTACGGAGATGGTTAAAACTGTTAAATTTCTACCATCAGTTTGTGAAAGTTCCATTTCATCACATTGGTGTCTACACTTGGTATAATCAGTTTTATTTTTATTTATATTTTGGGTACTGGGGATTTAACCCAAGAGCACTGTACCACTGAGTAACATCCCCAACCCTTTTTATCTTTTGAGATAGGAGCTTACTAAGTTGCTTAGGGCCTCTCTTTGTTGCTGAGGCTGATCTTGAATTTGTGATCTTTCTGTCTCAGCCTCTCAAGTGGCTGGGATAACAGGTGTGTGTGACCATGCCCAGCCAGTTTTTTAAATTAAAAAAAAAAATTAGCATTTTTAATAGGTGGTTTGACTTGTGGTTTCAATTTGCATTGCCCGAAACAGCTGATAATACTGAGTATCTTCTGTGCTTGCCATCCATTTATTCACATTTTCTTTGGCAAAATGTTGGTTTAAATTTTTGTCCCTTTAAAGAAATGTATTGTTTTCTTATTTTTTAATGTTCTTTATATATTCTGGGTGTAGTGTTTGTTATTGGATATATGTCTTTGTAGGTACTTATCTCCCATTCTTAATTTTTTTAAAAAAACATTGTAATTAAATAACACTATCATCTTTTATTCTTTTTGGGGGGGTTACTGGGGATTGAACCTAGAGGTGCTTAACCACTGAGCCATATCCTCAGCACTTTTTTATATTTTATTCAGATTCAGAGATAGGATCTCACTGAGTTGCTTAGAGTTCACTAAGTTTCTGAGGCAGGCTTTGAACCCAAGATCCTATGGCCTCAGCCTCCTAAGTAACTGGGATTACAGGATTAATTCCAAAGGTGGGATTACAGTGCACCTTTGTTTTTTTTATTTTGAGACAGTCTGGCTTTGTTGCCCCACTGGCCTCTTACTTGTGATTCTCCAGCCCTAACCTCCCAAGTCACTGGGACTATAGGCTTTCTCTACCATGCTTGGCTTGTAGTCCTTACTTTTTATGCCTCATAATAGAATTTCAAAATGCATGAAACAAAATTGGACAGAACTATAAGGAAAAAAAGAGAAATCACATCTATAGTTAAGAGATTCAGCACTTCCCCTTCCTAAAAATTGATGGAAAAGGTGTTGCAAAGTAGTAATACTTTGTAGTCCTAGCAGTTTGGGAGGCTGGAATTTGAGACCAGCATGGGCAACTCAGCAAAAACCTGTCTCAAGAAATAAAAACAGGGCTGGGGACATAGCCCAGCAATAGAGTGAGCGAGCGCCAGGTCCATGAAGGCCCTGGGTTCAAGTTCCTGTATCGTAAAATAAACTAAAGAGCAACGACGATAGAAAATCTTGGAATACCACTATAAGCCATTATAAATTACCAATATGAAATATTTTACCTGTCTGGGGATGTAGCTTAGCCGCATAGGGCTTGCCTAGCATGGGTGAGGCCCTGGATTTCATCCCTAGCACTGCATGCACGCACACACACACACACACACACAAAAAAAAAAAAAAAAAAAACCTTAAAAACATCAGAGTACACATTCCTTTAAGTGAATAATTTACCAAAACAGACCATATTTTAGGCCATAATGAAGTCTCAAGTTTGAAAGGATTCAAGTCATTCTGGGTGTAGTGGTGAAAGCCTATAATCCCAGCGGCTTAAGAGGCTGAGGCAGGAGGATTTCAAGTTCAAAGTCAGCTTTAGGCAATTTAGTGAGGCCCTAAGCAACTTAGTAAAATCCTGTCTCGAAATGATAAATAAATAGGGCTGGAGGATGTCGCTAAGCACCCTGTTAATCCCCCCCCCCMAAAAAAAGAAAGAAAAAGTATTTAATTAATTATAAATTAATACCAATTGTCTGGAAATCTTTAAATAACTGGAAACTAAGTAATGTACTTTTAATTTATAATTTAAAGAATAAAATATTTAGAACATATGAAAACAGTATTAAAATTTGTAAGCAGTTGCTAAAGTGGTACATAAAGGAAACATAGCATTAACTACCTGTCTTAAATCAGGTCTGGTGGGACACACCTATAATCCGAGCTCCTGATGGCAATTTTGAGATCAGTCTGATTTAGTGGAATCCTGTCTCAAGATACAGTTAAAAGAAGGGTTAGAGATGTAACTCATAGGCAGAGTGCTTTCTGGGTTCACCCCCAGAGCCACAAAAAAAAAGGATATAAGATCAATATATAAAATTATAATTTGCCTTTTTGTATACTAGCCTCCACAACTTGGTGAGACCCTGTCTCAAAAATAAAGAGTGACCTGGCCACGGTGGCACATGCCTATAATCCCAGTGGTTTGGGAGACTGAGGCAGGAGGAGCACAAGTTCAAAGCCAGCCTCAGCAACTTAGCTCCTGAGCAACTCATTGAGACCCTGTCTCTAAATAAAAAGTGCAAAAGGGCTGGGGACATGGTTTAGTGGTTAAATGCTGCTGGGTTCACTCACTGGTACCAAAATAAATAAGTAAAAAATACAGAGTGGAGGTTGCAGCTCTGGTAGTGCTTGCCTAGCATGCATAGATCCTTGAGTTCAGTTCCCACTACCCCAACCCTGATGTACAAAGGAAGTTCTTGAACTATATTTATGCATATTTCAGCTATCACAGTGATAGCTTTTTGACCGCACATTTGTACATGAATTATGAACTAGGTCATGATCATTTTACTTTTCAGTTTAGAAGTTTGAGAACTAAAAGTTCATAGTCCTTTGATGCTTCAGAATTTTAGTGAATTTTTGTGGGGAAGAATCTATATTGGATCATATTGTTCAACTCTTCTGATAGTCCAACTCTTTAGGTTTCTAGTTCTTATTTATTAGATATCTGATTTTTCTCTTCTTTATAGGTTGGGAAGGAGAAAATGCTCAAAGTGAAGATTGTGAAGATTCATCCTTTAGAGAAAGTAGATGAAGAGGCCACTGAGAAGAAATCTGATGGTGCCTGTGATTCTCCATCAAGTGACAAAGAGAATTCCAGTCAAATTGCTCACGACCATCAGAAGAAGGAGGCAGTAGTAAAAGAGGATGAAGGACGGAGGGATAGTATGTATGATGCCAGCTTTGTCATGGGACCCTGTCATTTTATTATACACACATCTTTTAGAGTTCTCCAAAAACAAAGATGTAATTGTAGCCAGGCAAGGTCGTATACGCCTGTAATCTTAGTGGCTCTGGAGACTGAGGCAGGAGGATCTCGAGTTCAAAGCCAGCCTCAGCAATGGTGAGGCGCTAAGCAACTCAGTGAGACCCTGTCTCTAAATAATATACAAAATAGGGCTGGGGGTGTGTCTCAGTGGTTTAGTGTCCCTGAGTTCAATCTCTAGTACCCAAAAAAAAAGTCATTTTTTTTTATATAGACATGATCTTGTTCATTTATCATTCAGAATATAACCAGAATAATCACAAAATGAATTAAGATTTACATCTCCCTAAATAATTAATACCATTGGGAAGTCAATTTCCTATAGTTGCTAAGTACTAATCCCTAACTACTCAAAATGGCAAAGTATTCTTTCTTTTCCTTTTTTTATGTATAACATTGTGAATATAACTAATGGCAGTGAGTTGTACATTTAAAAATGGTAAAATATGAAAATACAGTGTTACATACATTTTACTTCAATAAAAACGTGCACAAATATTGCCCAATAATTAGGGATGCTAAAGGAGCTGATAAATATTAGAAAATTTAATCTGTGTTTCAGAGTCTCGTTTTGATTTGTTTAAGTATACATGACAGTAGAGTGTATTTTGACATTTTATATATCCATGGAGTATAACTTATTCTAATTAGGATCCCATTCTTGTGGTTGTACATGATGTGGAGTTTCACTGGTCCTATGTTCACATATGAACATAGGAAAGTTATGTCCGATTAATTCTACTGTCTTTCCTATTACCATCCTTCTACCTTCCCTTCATTCCCTTTGTCTAATCTGGTGAATTTCTATTCTTTCCTCCTTGCATCCACATATCTGTGAGAACATTTGGCTTTTGTTTTTTGGGGATTGGCTTATTTCACTTAGCATGATATCCTTTACTCTTAAAGTTGAAAATATGTACTTATGTGTAATTGGGGTGATCAAAGTAGGAGGGGCAAATTTTATTCTAAACCTTACTGCTCCTCACAGTGCAAACCAGTGTGGTGATTTAAGGGCCTTCCTTTTGTTTTCTGTAATCTAAGTTCCTCTCATGGGAGCTGCTATAATTCTGAAATACAACAATGTCTAAAAATAAGTTTAGGTATCTGGAGGCTCTAACAATAATTTTTTGAAAGTTGAAGAACAGGAACACTGCCCACTGAGAAAATTATTCAGTCTCAGATCTTCATTTTAAAAAATTATATAAATAAGGAATTTAGCTGAATTATGTTCCTTTTGTTTCCAAAAGCATGTGCACAATGTAGTGTGTGTTAATCCATGACTGTCAGTATTAAATAATTTTGCCATATTATTCAATTCTTACAGATATTGGATTAGAATGTTGTTACTTTGAAGTGTCATATTGTGTCATTCATTCTGTGTTTTGTTTCCGGATGTTTTAGATATATGCAGATGGTTTTATATACGTACTTCCCTGTAGTCTAAAGGAAGTATAACTAGTTGTAGTTGTAACTGGCCTACCCTACTTGTTGATATTTCAATTTTGTTTTCTGGTCTGTTTTATAAATGCTTATGTTTATGTTTTCTAGTTTTTCTCTTTAAAAAAAAACTTTTTTGTAGTTGTAGATGGACAGCATATCTTCGTTTATTTTTATGTGGTGCTGAGGATTGAACCCAGTGCCTCACATGTGCAAGGCAAGTGCTCTGCCACTGAGCTACAGCCCCAGCCCTAGTTTTTCTCTTTTTGATACTGAAGTTTTATAACATGAGCATTAGTTACAATCCCCTGAGATTGTTTTGGTAAGGAATTGATATTTCTAGAATCAGATCATTGGCATACCAATAATAATATATTACACTCATTTTATGCCTGAAGTATTGTATACCAGGAGCCCCAAGTTTTAGGCTTTGACTTTTCTTTTTTTGGCAGTATTGGAGATTGAACCCGGAGCCTCATGCATGGTAGGCAAGTGTTCTACCACTAAGCCACATCTCCACCCACTGAATTTTTTATTGTTTTTTTTTTTTGTGTGTGTGGTTTAMTTATTGAGATCTAATGTCATTTGCTATTATTCAGCTAAGGAATTAATGTTATGACATATTCTGGAAAAAATTGTTCGAATTTCCACAGGAATGAAAGAGAAATTCTAATACAATAGTATTTTCTCATCAGATGACACTGGCTTCTACTTATGGGGAAAACAATAATGTATTAGCCAGAAATGTCTCAACTTTGTGTCCTTCTTCCTCTCCTTCCTTCCTGTTGGGAGAAGGACTTTGTGCATGCTGGACAGGTGCCCTCTACCACTCAGCTATATCCTTAGCTCTAGCTTTGTGTTCTTAATGACATGATGAATTTTTGTATTCTTTCTCATCATAGTAAGAGGGACTCTCTTTTCTTCTCTTGGCTAAAACACTTGTCCTTTGAAATGTATTTGTTCTTTCTCAAGGAGTTGGGTTAACTTTTATTTTTATTCTCAACTTATTATTAATAAAGTCTCATTTTCTAAAAAGAATAACATGTCTCCCTTGATCATCTTGTTTTCTTTCCATTCAAGTCAATGTTCTTTTTAAAAACAAACAAACCTGTATATTTATTCAGTGTTATTAATGCTCACAAATCTACAGTTTGGGGATTTTTTTTTTAAAAGGGATGGTTTATTACAAAACTTGTAGTATCCATCAAATCTGAGAATGTTATCGCTGTTTATTGACCATCAGTTTATTCCTTATGCTGTTGTGGTCTAAATTGTGTCATTTTATGGCTAAAATAAGGTTATACGTAATCTCTTTTGTTGTTGGTGGTGGTATTGTTATTGGGTATTGAACCCAGGCATTTTACCAATGAGCTACATTCCCAGCCTTTTTTATTTATTATTTTGAGACAGGGTCTCTCTATATCGCTAAGAGCTTTGCTAAATTGCTGAGACTGGCCTTATAATTGCAATCTTCCTGCCTCAGCTTCCTGAGTTGCAGTGATTCTAGGTGTGTGCCACCATGCCCAGCTGCTTCTTGATTGTTTAATCTGGAGATTGCTTCTTGGTCTAGTTTACATTTCTGTTATATTTGACACTGATGGTTGCTCTCACATCTTTTATATTATTTTATACACTGTCTCCTAGTTCCTCAACTACTCTGTTTCTTTACCTTTTCCTTTTTTTTTTTTTTTTTGTCCCTGCCATTCCTTGGATTTTTTCCCAGAGGGTTCTATCTTTGTCTTTTCATTTTTTATTTTACATACTGTTCTCTATCAGTGATGCCCAATTTAAACTCTGATCTGTAGGTAGGCTGATGATTCCCAAGGTCAGACTTACTAGGTCAGACTTGTACAGTAACTTCAGGCCTGATCTTCAACTTGTATGGTCCCACAGGCAACTCAAATGCAGCACATACAAAGCTAAATTGACCATCTCATTTTTGTTTCCTCAAGGCAATTTAACAAGAATCCTGCTCTTCTCTCTTCCTTTTGTTGTTCTTCTCTCTTCCTTTAAGTTAATGACACCACCATGTACTTGGTCTGAAAGGCAGAAAACTTGGAAACCTTTAGTATTCCTACTTGTAATTAACACCAAGTCTAACTCCTAAATGCCTCTTGACTCTTTCATTCTCCATTTCATTTATAGTAATTCAGATATTTGGCATTGTGTCTTCTGATTTCCTTATTTTCAGCCTTACCTTCTCATTTTATTCATCTTGTAATTGCTGAAATTGTTTTCTTAAATTTTTTCACACTGGTGATTTTTAAAAATGCACATTTAGTTAAAACAAAATTTCTTCTCTGAGCTGGGTAATGGCTCATCTCTGAAATCCCAGCTACTTGGGAGGCCAAGGCAGAAGGATTGCAAGTTTAAGCAAATTGTCAAGGTGGCAAAACCTGTCTCAAAATAAAAAATATAAAGGGCTGGGAATGTTGCTCTGTGGTAGAGTGCTCCTGGGTTCAATCCCCAAAACTTACCAAACAAAAATAAAAAACCTAAAACTTTGATTTCCTAGTGCTCACAAGACAAATTATAGTCTCTTTAATGGTGTATGAATCTTTTTAAAATCTAGCCTCAGTTTACCACTAGTCCGATTTTTACTGTACTATAAGTCTGTATTTCTGAACAAGTCATATTTTGGGTTTTTCATGCCTGCCTTTCAGACTCAAGTTTTCTCTATTCTCTATTATATATATATATATATTAACCACTATGCCCAGCTCAAAGAAGAAATCTTGTTTGAACTAGATGTGCGTTTTTTAAAAATCACCTATGTGAAAATCAACCTCTGTTATAGTATTTAATTAGTAGTGTAATTATTTATTTATCCTCTTATAGACTTTAACTCCTTGAGGTTGGAGATAATGATTCATCTTTGGGCCACATCACCCAGTGTTGGTGCAGAATAGGTGTTCAGTAAGATTATTATTCATGAATGGATGAATAGAATTAAAACAACAAGCTTTTTCATGAATTTTTGTTTATTTGACTAGATGACAGAGCACGTAGATCTCCACGCAAACTTCCTACTTCATTAAAAAAGGGAGAAAGGAAATGGGCTCCTCCAAAATTTCTGCCTCACAAATATGATGTGAAACTACAAAATGAAGATAAGGTTAGTTGGCACTTTATGTTAAATCTCTTATATGTGATAGATGTTGTTTAAGAAACTGTTACAGGGTTGGTTTTCTTAGAGAAAATGTGCTGAAGAAACATGTTAATGGGTGTCTTTGTATAACGCATTCTAAGTGGTGGGTACTATTAGTAATTATGACTTTAAGTTAAATTATTTTTATTTGTAGTCTTAGTAATTATGACTTTAAGTTAAGTTATATTTTTATCTGTAGGAGATACCAGGCATTTTCTTTATTTAAAGGAATTATAAGAGTGTAAGAGAACATTTAAGCTTCTCGATTTGAAAATCAAGACTCTATTCCCAGTGGTTATAGACTTCCCAAGGAGATAGCTTTTTCCTATTAAAAGTATAACTAGCTGTTTGTGGGCGGGGTTGTAGCTCAGTGTTTGAGTGTTTGCCTTGCACGTGTGAGGTACTGGGTTTCATCCTTAGCCCCACATAAAAATAAATAAGTAGGGGCTGGGGTTATGGCTCAGCGGTAGAGCGCTTGCCTATCACGTGAGAGGCCTTGGGTGGGTTCAATCCTCAGCACCACATAAAAAGTAAATGAATAAATAAAATAAAGGTATCATGTCCATCTACAACTAAAAAATTAAAATAAATAAATACACACATACACAAATAAATAAATAAAAGATTGTGTCCATCTACAACTAAAAAAAATGTTTTTTAAAAAAATTTTGTAGTTTTAGATGGACAGAATGCCTTTATTTTATTTGTTTATTTTTATATGGTAAATGGGCTCCTCCAATCAAACCCAGTGCCTCATGCATTCTAGGCAAACGCTCTGCCTCTGAGCTAAAAGAATATTTTTTTAAAAGTACAGCTCTTTGTAATATACTTAAACTCAGAAATTGAGTCAACTCTAATTAGTGCTCATATAAGGAATCTTGTAAAACTGTAAGGTAATAACCCACAACAGTGAATATTCTTAAAATAGTATTACCTTTTATTAATTCTGTGATGCTCTGGATTTAGTATTTTCTCAGCCCCTATATGTAAATTTTGTTGGGGTGGGGAGTTGTGTGATGATGGTTGGACCCAGGGCTTCATACATGCTAGCCAAATGTTCTACCTCTGAACTACACCTGCCCCAGCCTTAGTTTTTATGATTTTATTGTGTCAAGAATTGGGACTTTTTTATTTGTGGAACTGGAGATTGAATCCAGGTGTGCTCTACCACCGAACTGTATCCCTAGCCCCCATGCCTTTTTCATTTCTTTTTTAGTACCAGGTATTGAACCCTGTGGTTCTTAACCACATCCCTAGCTTTTTTGGGGGGAGGAAGGGTATTAGGGATTGAACCCAGGGATGCTTAACCACTGTTCTGCATCCCCAGCCCTTTCTGAATTTTATTTATAGATAGGGTCTCATGAGTTGCTTAGGGCCTCTCCAAATTGCTGAGGCTGTCTTTGAACTCATGATTCTCCTGCCTCAGCCTCCCAAGCCACTGGGATTACAAATATGTGCAACTGCACTTAGCTAACATCCCTAGCCTTTTTTTTGTTTTTTTTTTTTTTTTTAAGAGAGAGAGAATTTTTTTCATATTTATTTTTTAGTTTTCAGTGGACACAACATCTTTGTTTGTATGTGGTGCTGAGGATCGAACCTGGGCCGCACGCATGCCAGGCGAGCGCGCTACTGCTTGAGCCACATCCCCAGCCCCTTTTTTGTTTTATTTTGAGGCAGGGCTTCACTAAGTTGCTGAGGCTAGCTTTGAATATGATATCCTCCTGCTTCAGCATCCCAGGCCACTGGGATTACTGGCACGGACCACCACATCCAGCTAAAAGGGTGTGTGTGTGTGTGTGTGTGTGTGTGTGTGTGTGTGTGTGTGTTTCTTTTTGAAATGGAGATCAAACCCAGGGTTTCACACCTGCAAGGCAAGCACTTCACCACAGAACTACATCTCAGATCCCTAGCACTCCCTCTTTTTTGGGTACTGGGGATTGAACTCAGGGGCATTCAACCTTTTATTTATAAGCCACCTTAGCCATAGCTCTAGCCCTATTTTGTATTTTATTTAGAGACAGAATCTCACTGAGTTGCTTAGTGCCTTCTAGTTGCTGAGGCTTCCCAAACTCCTGGTCCCTCAGCCATTTTTTTTTTTTTAATAATTTTTAGTTGTTGATAGATCTTTATTTTATTTACTTATTTATATGTGGTGCTGAGAATCAAACCCAGTGCCTCAATGTATGTGCTAGGCAAGTGCTCTGCTGCTGTGATACAACTGCAGTCCCAACCCTAGCCCCCCCCCCTTTTTTCACTAGAACAAAATCTTTATTACTTAGTATAAGAGTAGTAGAAGCAATTTTGTATGATACACAGAGTTACATAACATTATTAGCTTTTATTTATAAGTCACCTGATTTGCCAATCAAATAGTAACAGAAAATAACTGATAATGTCTGGCCTGTGACTCTCCCGACTCAATAACCTCAGAACCCCAGCCCTTTTTATTTTTTATTTTGAGACAGGGTCTCATTCCAAGGCTGGCCTGAAACTTGTGATCCTTCTACCAAGTCTCTGGTACAGGCGTGGGCCAACTTCCTGGGCTATATTGCAGTTCTTTTGCCTCTTTGTTTATACTGTTTTTTTTCCCATCTCAAAATATTGACAAATCTCACACCGTTGTGACTCATTTGTGGTATAATTAGTGATCTGCAGAAATGACTAGATTATTAGGATTTCTATGTTTGAAAGTTAAATATAATTTTTCATTAAGTTTCTTGCCTCTTATTCAGCAAGCACCTAGTTAAAACATTCTAAAATCTCAGCCACTTCTCTCATTCAGGTTTTGATTGGTGAGTGTAAGTTGATTTGCTCATAGGTAGTAAATATTGGTTAATTGGAAGATAGAAAATGCAAATAAGAAAAAAATTATCTCTAATCTCAAACTCAGATAATCGGTGACTATTGATCTAATTTATGGTGGTTAATTCTTAAGTGACTTGAAAGTAGGAATATTCTATATTATTTTGTAATTTACTTTTAAAATTTACTGTTTGGTCAGCCTCTGTTGTGTCATTAATTTTTCTTTCAGAACATTGCTCTTAGATTGTAGTGTGGGATGGTCAGTAGGGCATGCTTATTAAATATGTACATTCCTGACTTTACCTCCAGAGCTCCTTCTGGCTCATTAAATTTGTGGGGAGGCCCAAACAGTTCCTTTTACCTTAGATGATTTGGGTGAATTTGTCCTGATTGAGAAACTTTTTGTTTTTTTCAAGGCTACAAGATTTCCATTATGTATATGTATTTTAATTTAAAAAAATACGTTTTAACCAGACGTGGAGGCGCATGCCTATAATCCCAGCAGCTTGGCTATGGAGGCTGGGGCAGGAGAATCAAGAATTTAAAGCCAGCTTCAGCAACTTAGTGAGGCCCTAAGCAACTCAGTGAGACCCTGTCTATAAATAAAATACAAAACAGGGTTTAGGGATGTGGCTCAGTAGTTAAGTGCCCCTGAGTTCAATTCTCAGTACTGAAAGAAAGAAGGAGAGAAAGAGTCCCGTATTGATGAACTTTTGTGTAATAATTACTCTCCTTCCTCCGTGGTGTTTTGTGTGTGTGTGTGTGTGTGTGTGTGTGTGTGTGTGTGTGTGCTGGGAATCAGACCCAGGGCCTTGTACATACTGGACAAGTGCTGTACTACTGAGCTATATCCACAGCCCCAGCACCACTTTTTGATGTTAAAAGTAGTTGAAAATTTCTGTATTTACATGCTTAGGTAAATTCTGTTTTGTTTTTATTGTTGTTTTTAAATATATTGTAGGGGCTGGGGATATGGCTCAAGCGGTAGCGCGCTCGCCTGGCATGTGTGCGGCCTGGGTTCTATCCTCAGCACCACATACCAACAAAGATGTGTCCGCCGAGAACTAAAAAATAAATATTAAAAAATATTCTCTCTCTCTCTCTCTCTCTCTCTCTCTCCCTCTCTCCTCTCTCACTCTCTCAAAAAAAAGAGAAAATATTAAAAAAATAAATAATAAATAAATATGTTGTAGATGGGCCTTTATTTATTCATTTATTTATTTATATGCTGTGCTGAGAATCAATTCCAGTGCCTCACATGTGCTAGGTAAGCTCTCTACTATTTTTTAGTTTTAGGTGGACACAATATCTTTATTTCATTTTTATGTGGTGCTGAGAATCGAACCCAGTGCCTCATGCTCGAGAGCCACCACTTGAGCCACATCCCCAGCCCCCAGGGTAAATTCTTAACAGAGGAATTATGGGTTTGAAGGGTGTTCACATTTTTAGGTAATATCAACAAATTGCCTTGGGATATTTTTAAAATTAGACATTTTATCTCTAAATGTTATTCTACTCTTTCTTCTAATTTATAAYCTTATTTCATAGATGGAATTGTGTTTTCTGGAAAAGATGTAAATTTTTGTTCTTATTGGTTAATTGCCATGGTATCCTAGTGGTGAGTTATTTTTGTTTTTTTCACCTAGATCATCAGCAATGTGCCAGCAGATAGCTTAATTCGAACAGAGCGCCCACCAAATAAGGAGATACTTCGATACTTTATACGGCATAATGCCCTACGTGCTGGTACTGGTGAAAATGCACCTTGGGTGGTAGAAGATGAATTGGTGAAAAAATATTCCCTGCCTAGCAAGTTCAGTGACTTTTTACTTGATCCATATAAGGTAAGGTCACTATTAATTTTGGGATAGCAGAATAATGCACTAGTAGATGAGTTTATTCTCTCTGACTCCAATAAGATTAGATTTATACCAGATTTTTGAATTTTCTTTTTTTCTTTTCTTTTGGTACTGGGGATTGAATCCAGTGGTGCTACATCACTGAGCCACATCACTAGCCCTTTTATTCCTTATTTTGAAAAAAGGTTTCACTAAGTTACTGAGAGTAGTCTCAAACTTAAAGTCCTCCTCCTGCCTCAGCTGGCGTTACAGATGTGCACCATTGTGCCTGGCCAGATTTTAGAATCTAACATCATATAATGATTTTGAAAATTTCCAGATATGTGTTTCATTAGGCTGTGATAATGGGGGCTGTGAGGGGGGGGCACATTGAATAGCTTCCCTTAATTTGATTTATTTTTTGCTATGTATGAATAATTGAAAAAGTAAAACTATACAACATTTTTTTCCTTTATATTCTTTTTTTTTTTTTTTTTTTTTAAAGAGAGAGAGAAAACTTTAATATTTATTTTTTAGTTATCGGCGGACACAACATCTTTGTTTGTATGTGGTGCTGAGGATCGAACCCGGGCCACACGCATGCCAGGCGAGCGCGCTACCGCTTGAGCCACATCCCCAGCCTCTCTCTTATATTCTTTTTGGAAACAAAAATATTTTGTGAACGGATTCTTAAAATGAAAACTTGTTTTGTATATCAGGCAAGATGATCAATTATTACTGGCAGCTGTGGGAAAAAACCTGGAAACTATATTACTTTGAGTGATATGTTAGTAGTAAATAAATCTAGCATCTCTCTCTTCAGAATATTTTCTCCCTTGAATCGTCTCATTTTATCTTCAGAGCATTTTTATGAAATTGTATAGTGTATGTATTATTTTACAGATGGGGAATCTGAGATCCATTCCAATTAGAAGTGTATAACAAGATCCCAGACTTTGGCCTAGGATGATTGTCTTTTCTGTCTCAGAGTTCCTCCAATAAGATTTAGGGGGTGGGGCTGTGCTGGGCATCAAACATAGAGCCTCTCAAATGCTAGGCAAGTGCTCCATCACTAAGCTGCATCCCCAGCCCAAATTCTTTTTTTTTAAATGTAGATTTTTGAGATTTCTCATGTTTCTTTTGTTGATAAATTTAACTTATCAGTATACTGGCTGATATTTTCATTTTGGTCTTTAGATCAGAATAGGATTAGGACATGTTCAGAGTCTATCCCACTGGTAGAGTGTGTGTATTCTTGAGGCCTTGGGTTCAGCACCAGAGACAAAATATTAAAACAATGCCAGACTTTTGGATTTCTTCCCTTTTCTGCTTTTTTTTTCTGGCAGTACTGAAGATTGAACCCAGGGACTTGTACATGGCAGATAAGTACTCTGCCACTAAACTATCTCCCCTATCTGTCTATCTTCCTACCTACCTATTTATTTTTTGTGGTGCTGAAGATTGAACCCAGTGCTTCACATGTGCTAGGCAAGCGCTCTGCCACTGAGCTACAACTCCAACCCCCTCCCTCTTTTAATTATTAAAAATTAAGAACCCTTCAAGTCATAACTAATAACTAAACAACCTTAATTATCTTACATTAATTATGTTGACATAAATATATTGAAAACTAATTTTATTTCTGTAGAACATTGGTAAAGATTTCTTCCCAAGCTGGGACTGTACCTCAGTGGTAGAGCATAAGACACGAGTTCAATTCCCAGCAAGACAGTCTCTCTCTCTCTCTCTCACACACACACACACACACACACACACACATGCAGACTTCTTCCCATATTTCAGCATTTAGCAAGTATTGTTCTAGACCAGCATCATTGAACATTATCATCTATCATGTCTTACATTTTTATTATTTTCTAATAGACTCATTTATGAATTAGCTTATTCTAGATCAGAATGAAAATTTCCATGAACGATAGTTAGTCTGAAATTTTAAAAAAATATTTGTATTAAGAAGATTGGAGCTCAGTGTTATTTTATTGCCACAGATGATACAGCTTTCTGTGGTTATCACACAGAATTAACTATATGAAAATCCTTATATAAGTTCACCTCTGAGTGGGATTTAGACTTTGGATAACTTGAACCCTTAAAATCTTAGTTTTTAAAAATCTTATAGCTATATTTTTATGTATTTTAAAAATTGTTTATGTTTAGTGATTCGAATATATAAATGGCGAAATTACTATTTATGAGTAAGAGGTCTTCTGGCTTATTAAGAGAAAAAAGCTGAGCTCAACATTATGTAGGAGCCAGAGATTAGAATTCTGTTTACTTACATCTCAAGGAAATCTCTGAAGATAACTGCTATTCTCAAAAAATTTTAATGAGGGCATAAATCACTAGTTATTAAATTTAACTATAATTCAGATTGCAATTAGGATGTGCATGCTTGCTTATATTAAGCTACTGTAAAAAGGCAGTGAGTGATTTTACTTAGAAATTGAGACTCATATAAAATACTGGTCTATAAAATCAGGAGCATGTACACATCTTTATTTTCTATTTTCTATACCTGAAAGCAGTAATTTCTTACTCTCTGATACTCATTGTTTGACATTTCCCTGATTGTCTTCTATGTTTTGCATATAAGCTATGTGTTTTCCTTTCTTAAATTAGTTTTCTTAAAGGGCCTCTGATATCTTATCAGGGTAGAACAGAATAGTGAACCCAGATAAGTAGACCATGAAACAGTGCTTTGGATTCTTTCTTCATTTAAAGGAAGTTTAAAATAATATAATGAGCGTTATCCACCCTTCCCAAAGGCATGCAAAATTTTCTGTCTCCTCTTTGATTTTTGTAGAATATAATTTCCTACCAGGCTACTGGATACAGCTGCTYGAGAGCAAGGTGTGTCCTGAGAAGAGGAATCAAGTTCTGAGCATCAGCTTTAGGAAAGGATCAGTGAGAGAGTGCTCAGGTTGGAGACTGCAGAATTATCTAGACGAACAGGAGTGTTGAGTGGGGCCTAGTGTGATAATGATGATGAGGCTGTGTTTTGTGGTCTTGTAAACCTTTTCTAGAATATAAGTTCTACCTGACTTACTCAATTTGTATCCTATGAGTTTGGCATAGCACATTGCATATAATGGGCATATGGCTGTTTAATTCATTTCTTGAAGAAGTCATTTGTTAAGAAAAATGCCACTGACATTTGGGTTTTGGGGCTAGCTAAGTTTTTATAGGCCTAATGACTTGGAAGAATGATTTACAAAGCAACTAGATGCTAAAATAATTTCTCTTCTGCCATCTTAGCTGCTCATTTCCCTCTACCTACACAACAGCCCTATTTTTTTCTTAGAGTTCACTATCTTTGTAATGATGGGTGCTAATAGGGAAACCTTTAAGTAAAGAAATAAGTAAAGAAAATGATACTTCTAAAAACATCCGGAAAATTTGTTTTGATGACTGTTGGTCACATAAATTCTAGATCAAAAGACATTTTTAAAAAAAGACATTTGGAGGGCTCGGGTTGTGGCTCAGTGGTAGAGTGCTCGCCTAGCACATGTGAGGCACTGGGTTCGATCCTCAGCACTACATAAAAATAAAATAAAGATATTGTATCCACCTAAAACTAAAAAGTAAATATTAGGGGAAAAAAAGGACATTTGGAATCCTGAAATAATTTGGACCTTTTTTTAGCATTTTTCTTACAACATTTTAAAAGCATTTTATTTTGAAGTGATTTCATAAGAAATTGTTGGAGGGCTGGGGATGTGGCTCAAGCGGTAGTGTGCTCGCCTGGCATGCCTGCGGCCCGGGTTCGATCCTCAGCACCACATACAAAGATGTTGTGTCCGCCGATAACTAAAAAATAAATATTAAAATTCTCTCTCTCTCCCTCTCTCTTTAAAAAAAAAAAAGAAAGAAATTGTTGGAATACTAAAGAATTTCCATGTATTCAATAACATTTCTTGAATATTATAACCTTTATCATAACTTAATATAACCCAGTTAAGTATAAATAGAGATGTCCTCTTAAAACATACCTGAATATGTGTTTCTTTTTTTGTGTGTGTAAGTTTACTGGGAATGTAACCCAGGGGCAGTTTACCACTGAGCCACATCCTTGCCCTTTTTACTTTGTTATTTTGAGACAGGGTCCTACTAAGTTACTTAGGGTCTGACTCAGTTGCTAAGACTGGCCTTGAACTTGTGATCTTCCTGCCTCAGCCTCCTGAATCACTGAGATTGTAGGTACACACCACCACACCCAGCCTGAATATGTGCTTTTTGAAAATAAGGATATTTTCTAATGTCACTGTAGTATAGTTATCAAAATCAGGAAATTAACATTGAAACAATACAATAATCTGCAGTTATAACTCAAATTTTGCCTAATAAAAGCCTCTGTCATCCTTTCCTTTTGTTTTGTTTTGTTTTGCACTGAGCATTGAACCCAGGGGTACTTAACCACTGAGCCACACACATCACCAGGATCTTGCAAGTTGCTTAGGGTGTTGCTAAATTGCTAATGCTGGTTTTGAACTCACAGTCCTCCTGCTTCAGATTCCCGAGCCACTGGGATTACAGGTGTGCCTCATCACACCTGGCTAGTATCGGAAATTTAACCCAGGACCTTACTCACTGAACTACATCCTCAGCCCTTTTTATTTTGTTTTGAGACAGGGTCTCACTAAGCTGTATGGGCTGGCCTTAAACTTGAGATCCTCCTCTTCAGCCTTTTGAGTACCTGGGAGCACAGGTGTATACCACCCTATTCAGATAACCTTGGTGTTAAAAATATATATATATTTATATTAATATATATATTCATAACTCTTTATTTTATTCATTTATGTGGTGTTAGGGATTGAACCTAGGGCCTCTTATGTGCTAGGCGAACGCTCTACTGCTGAGMCGCTACCCCAGCCCCTTTTTAATATTTTTTTAGTTGTACATGGACACAGTATCTTTATTTTTTTTTTAACTTTTGTTTATTTATTTATTTATTTTTATGTGGTGCTCAGGATCGAACCYAGGGCCTTGGACATGCGAGGTGGGCACTCTACCGCTGAGCCATAACCCCAGCCCCACAATGTCTTTATTTTGTTTATTTTTATGTGGTGTTGAGGATCAAACCCAGTATCTCACATGTGCGTGGCGAGCGCTCTGACACTGAGCCAAGACCCCAGCCCCAACCTTGGCATTTTTGAGTAACATGAACTAGTTATTTTGTAGGATGCCCTTTGATTTGGGTTTGTTTTCTTATTAGGTTCAGATTAGGAATACCACAGAATGGATATATTTTTCTCAGAAGATCAAATCAGAAGGCACCTAATATAATTTTAATTTGTCCCATTACTAATGGTTGAAATGCATTTTAAAATATAATTCTCACTTGTCCTAAACAAGCTTTTTAAGTAGGTTCCTAGCTCTAAGATTTCTTCTTTTTTTTTTTCCTCCCTCCCACCCTCCCTCCCTTCCTTCCTTGCTGAAGTTGGCCTCAAACTTGCATCCTTTCTGCCTCAACCTCCCAAATAGCTGGGATTATAGATGTGCGTCATTGTACCTGGCTAAGATTTTTCTTAATTAAAATTTTGCCTTTAAGGTTCCCTCTTGAGTTAGAGACAAAAGCAGAAGTACTTAAACAAACAAACAGGGGCTTGGGATATAATTCAGTGGCAGAGTGCTTTCCTAGCGTGCTCCAAACCCTGGGTTCAAACCCCAGCACCATAGAAAATAAAATAAAGAAAGAAAGAATATTATTTTCAAAATTCTTTAAAAATACTTCAGAGTAACACATTTAGAAAATTGTCTGACAAATGCATATAGAGATTGAGATTGCCCTCAGATCCCAAACATGAGAAGAATGAAGTAAGAGTCTGGTATTGATTGCCAGAGTTTTCTAATCTAAGATTTTGTATATTAGATAATACTGCTTATTATTAAATTCAGCATTTTAGATGTTACAAATGGTTTCTTCACTTTTTATTTTACTTTTTACCAACAAACATGGTGTTTATGGTGGTGGCATGTTCTACACAACAGGACAGATGTAGGATTGTGTATACCCTTGTTTTTCTTTCTGCCTCCCCCATTGCTGAGAACACTCCTAAGTATGATTACCTGTTTGGCAATTAGGAAGGGCCTTGAACAAAAAATTTTAACCCTGCCAATCTGGGTATTCATTCTTCTCTTCTCCCTGCCGTTATGCTAGTCTAGAAGGCGAATTGCTCAGAGTGGGGCAGAGGGGAGACCCTTAGCACATAAGTGGTTTTATGCTTTTTCAGATCCCCCTGAGTCCAGCCGTGCCGGCTCCCTTGGGCTGTGACTCCCCAGCATACCCATGCTGAGATGACCCAGTTACTGAAGGACTGCTCACGCGGGAGCCGGCCTATTGGGAGGGGGTTGGGTGAGTTCATTTTTTCCATTTTTCAGAAATACAAATTTATGGGGCTGGGGATGTGGCTTAAGTGGTAGCGCGCTCTCCTGGCATGCATGTGGCCCGGGTTCAATCCTCAGTACCACATACAACCAAAGATGTTGTGTCTGCCGAAAACTAAAAAAAATAAATATTAAAATTCTTTCTCTCTCTCAAAAAAAAAGAAAGAAAAAGAAATATAAATTTATGGTGTGGTTTGTCTATACACACACAAACACAAAAAAAGCCCACACTTTATAAATAAAAATGGGTGGCTGTACCCTCTCATAACAAACCTTCACCTGTATTACTGCTTTATAATAGTATGCTTCTGAGTCAAGTTAAAGAAACTTATTCTAAATTTGAATGTTTTTAAGTAGGAGAAATACAATCAGTAAATTAAGAAGAGATCCAGTTAAAATAGATCCTACTAAAAGATACCTACTTAAATGCTAAAAACAAAACAGTCTCATTTTATTCTCTTTTTCAATATTAGATTTATTTTAGGATAATTTTTAAGCAATAGCTTGTTCTGAGCATTAGAAACATCACTTTTTATGGCTGTGCTATGGATATTTTCTAAGGTTGCCTGAATAAGATGGTTCACTTTGGGAGACAACATGTTTGTATTTAGTTCCTGACCAGGTAGTGTTGGATCTTTCTCTGTGATTTGGAGGGTATTTTCTGATATAGTATTCTTTTTAAAATACTTATAGTATTAGTATCCAGCAGGAGAATGGAATTTGTGAAATAACTTACTTTTCTTTACTTATTTATTTTTAACATTTTCAAATTTGTCCTGGGGAGCTAGGACAGGGAAATTTTGTATTGGGGAATTCATGAGTAAAGAATGTGTTCTTTTAAGCACTATACCTTTTTGTCAGCCTGTCCTGAGGATTACTGGGAAACAAAACATCCAGTTTTAAACAGAAAACAAAAACGCAGTCAGTATAATTCTTAGAAGGCAGATTGGCTTTTAAAGTTAGAAAATTTAGCCAGAAGAAAAAAGAAAGAAAATTTAGCTAGAAGAGAAATTTGTTAAGCGTAGCTTACTCATGCAGAGCACACCCTACTTCTGTAGAAGTCTTGTATTGCTGTTTCTGTTTCTCTGATGATTCTGCCTTTAATGTTTAAATTTTTTCATTCTGTTTTTTTGTTTTGTTGTTGTGTATCGTTAGGGCCTGAACCCATGCTAGGCAAGTGCTGTACTATTGAGCTACATACATTCCCAGCCCTAGTGTTTTGAGTTTTCGTTGGTATTGTAGCACAGCTTATTAAATTTTACTACATCTTTTGCTTTACTCCTAAGAGCATGGGATTATTCAGTGTTCTCTCTTTATTTTACCTTAGCTATTTCTCTGTAGCCTTTTTTAGTGGCTTCTRATTTCAAATTCCGTAGTCTCTGGCTGGGGGATTGGTTTGCCTGCAATCTTGTTTTATACTAGCTTGTCATACCTACTGTCTCCAGGCTGCTTCTTTACATGTTGCTTTTCTCAAGTTAGACCTATTAAAAAACTTGAAATTTCGGAATTTTGTGTGTTTGTATGACTCCTTTTGGCAGCAGAAGTCAGGTATTCTGTAGGTTATCTAGTCTTTCGATCCTCTTAAAACTTTTTCTGAAATAGGCTATAGTTTTGCACTGCTTGATATTTCATTCAGTTTATGTTTTAGTTGTAAGTCTTTTCTTTTTTATTTGTAATTACAATCTTTAAATCATTAAAATCAGATGGTTTTATTTTTAAAGTACAGATTTAGTTATTTATTTTTGCTACTGGGTGGCTTTACCACTGAGTTGCCCCAATCCTTTTTATTTTTTATTTTGAAATGGTGTTGTTAAGTTGCCTTAGGGCCTCAATAAAGTTGCTGGCACTGGCCTGGACCTTATGATTATCCTGCCTCGGCCTCCCAAGTCACTGGGATTATAGGCTTGTGTGCCTGGGTGAAGAACACATTTAAATAGAGAAAGAGTGGTATTGTGACAAATGGAAGGGGTTCTAACCTATTAACTAATTATGTGTGATGGAGATGGAGGGGTGAGAGTTGGTAGGAGAAGCTACTTTTCTAGGAGACAGGGAAGAGGAGTAGGCTAAGGGAATACACCATGAACAGGGGCCTGTCAGGGGTCCCCATTTCAGTTGCCTGGTGGTAGAATTGGAGAGAGGCTACTTGTGTATTTTATCCTAGCCATGTTAGAGCTAAATTTAGAGTGAATAAAATGTGAACCAGTCGGGATTATGGTTTTTCCAGGTAAATATAATAGAAGAAGAGAGACAAGGGAATTGTATATTTATATTAAGACTGATTAAATAACTAACTGGAATTTAAACTGGATAAAGAAGGATGAGCAGAGTCAGGTGGTGCATCCGTTGTGCCAGCTACTCAGGAACTGAGGCAGGGGCCTGGGCAACATAGCAAGACCCCTCTCTTAAAATAAAAGGACAAGAGGTTGAGGGTGGTGAAAATGTAATAAAATAAATGGATTTAAAGTCTTGGGAGATTGGAGGATTGTGTGGTTGGAGTACTAGTGGGAGAGAATTTGAGAAATATAGGCTGTTCAAAGAGAAAATTGTATGAAATTAATGAGAATTTAGACAGCTCATAGTTAAATGTATTCATGGAAATGAGTTACTCAGTTACAGGGAAAGGACAGAGAGGAGTTTGAGAAACCAAGGTCAGGAGGTTTCCTTATCTGTGAGCAGTTTTTATATTTTTATTATACTTATGGATACTTTTATTAATAAAAGATGCCTGAATTTAGGCAAAATTTTTGAATATTACACTTTATACTTAAAATCATAGCATGCTGTGATCCAGAATAAAAGTTTAAAGCATTAAAATCCAGTCCTACTTCATAGCAGTTCTCTTCTTCTGGAAGTGCTGGGCCTCAAACCCTGGACCATGCTTGGTCAGTACTTTACCACTGCATTCCCCCCTGCCGAAGGGCAATGCTTTTAAAATTACTCAAGTATTACTGTTTTTTAGGTATTCCTTATCTGGTGCCTGTGGGTGATGGTCTCCGAAATTATATGCATAGTTTTTATGTGTTGTTTCCAGGGATAAGGTTCACAGATTTCATTGAGATATTTAAGAATACATAGAGCTACTTAAGTAGCAAAAACGTCTAATATCAGGGACTGGTGATGTAGATCAGTGATATAGTACTTGCCTGGTATGTGTGAGGCCCTGTGGTCAATCCTTGGCACAAAGTAAGCAAATAAACAAATGGTTTAATCTCAGAGTGTAGACTTTTTCCCCTGATGCTGTGGCTCGAACCCTGGGCCTCATGTATGCTGGGTAAGTACTCTACCATTGAGCTGCACTTTCAATCCCACAGTATAGATTTGTAAGTCTGGTTATTCAGAGATGTTTGTATTGATGTGGCAAAAACATTAGCTAACAATAATGTCTTTGCTTTTTCAGGGACAGTGTCTATGAAGAGAAGTGAATATGTAGTTTTACTTGAATACCTGAGGATGAGGGCCTTTATGACATTGATTTTTTTAATATTTAAAATTAATTTTTTCCCTATTCTTAATTTCTAGTACATGACTCTCAACCCTTCTACTAAGAGGAAGAATACTGGATCCCCAGATAGGAAGCCCTCAAAGAAATCCAAGGCAGACAGTTCTTTGAGTTCACCATTAAATCCTAAGTTATGGTGTCATGTACATTTGAAAAAATCATTGAATGGCTCACCACTCAAAGTGAAGAATTCAAAGAATTCCAGATCTCCAGATGAACATCTGGAAGAAATGATGAAGATGATGTCACCCAACAAGTTACATGCCAACTTTCACATTCCTAAAAAAGGCCCACCAACTAAGAAACCAGGGAAGCACAGTGATAAACCTTTGAAGGCAAAGGGCAGGARCAAAGGCATCCTGAATGGACAGAAATCCACAGGGAATGCCAAATCTCCCAAAAAGGGTTTAAAGACTCCTAAAACCAAAATGAAGCAGATGACTTTGTTGGATATGGCCAAAGGCACTCAGAAGATGACACGAGCCCCCCGGAATTCTGGGGCCACACCGAGGTCCTCCAGTAAACCTCATAAACACTTGCCTCCTGCTGCTCTGCATCTGATTGCATATTACAAAGAAAACAAAGACCGAGAGGACAAAAAGAGTGCCCTATCCTGTGTTATCTCCAAAACAGCTCGTCTTCTTTCCAGTGAAGATAGGGCCCGCCTCCCGGAAGAATTGAGAACTATTGTACAAAAGCGCTATGAGCTTCTAGAGCATAGGAAGAGGTGGGCCTCTATGTCTGAAGAGCAGCGAAAAGAATATTTGAAGAAGAAACGACAGGAATTAAAAGAAAAGTTGAAGGAAAAAGCCAAAGAAAGAAGAGAGAAGGAAATGCTTGAGAAATTAGAAAAGCAGAAGCGGTATGAGGACCAAGAGTTAAATGGCAAAAATCTTCCAACATTTAGATTGGTGGATACCCCTGAAGGGCTGCCCAATACCCTCTTTGGGGATGTGGCCCTGGTGGTGGAGTTCTTGAGCTGTTATTCTGGGCTACTCTTACCAGATGCTCAGTATCCTATTACTGCTGTGTCGCTAATGGAAGCCTTGAGTGCAGATAAGGGTGGCTTTTTATATCTGAATAGAGTTTTGGTCATCCTGCTGCAGACCTTACTACAAGACGAAATAGCGGAAGACTATGGTGAATTGGGAATGAAGCTGTCAGAAATCCCGCTCACTCTGCACTCTGTTTCAGAGCTGGTTCGGCTCTGCTTGCGCAGGTCAGATGCCCAGGAGGAAAGTGAGGGCTCAGACACAGATGACAATAAAGACTCGGCACCATTTGAGGACAACGAGGTACAAGATGAGTTCTTAGAGAAGCTGGAAACCTCTGAGTTTTTTGAGCTAACATCAGAGGAGAAGCTGCAGATCTTGACAGCACTGTGCCACCGGATCCTCATGACGTACTCAGTGCAAGACCACATGGAGACCAGACAGCAGATGTCTGCAGAGCTGTGGAAGGAGCGGCTTGCTGTGTTGAAGGAGGAGAACGACAAGAAGAGAGCAGAGAAACAGAAGCGGAAAGAAATGGAAGCCAGAAATAAAGAAAATGGCAAAGAGGAAAATGGGTTAGGGAAAACTGATAGGAAAAAAGAAATTGTAAAGTTTGAGCCCCAGGTAGATATGGAAGCTGAAGACATGATTAGTGCTGTGAAGAGCAGAAGGCTGCTTGCCATGCAGGCCAAGAGGGAACGGGAGATCCAGGAAAGGGAAATGAAAGGTAAGATTTTACACCCAGAGAAAAGGGAAGGCCTTTAGAAGATGGTGAAAGATGGGAAGTTCATAGAGAAATGGGATGTCTCTGTCAATTATTTGCTTATTTCTGTAACAACCCAGAACCAGCTAGGTAATCATATTATATAATCATATTATGTGTGTGGATGTTGCTGGGGATTGAACCCAGAGTCTTGCACACACCAGGCAAGCACTCTCCCCCAGAGCTGTAGCCCTAGATCTAGGCTTGTAATATTTTAGACTGTTTGGCCTAGAATTCTGCAGTTGATGATAAGTTAATGCAATGGTGGCATCTTTTCTGGTTTTGCTAAATGCCCAAACCCACATATAGACATATTGAAAACAGCAGATTGCTCTTTGGAATTGCTGACTTGGGTTTGAATCCTTTTTGCTGTATTTCTTTGGCAAGTTATTTATCCATGCCATACTTTTCTCATGTTTGGTAAGATTGAATGACAAGGTATTTGAAGCCCTTAGCACAGTTGCCAACTGAGATAATAATTTTCCTTTATTATTATTTAAGAACTAAAAAATTTTGGGCTTTGATGGCACCATCAGATCTGAACTATTTATTCTATTTATTTAATTTTTATATGTTGCTGAGGATCGAACCCAGGGCCTCATGTGTGTTAGGTGAACCTTTTACCACTGACCCACAACCCCAGCCCTACATTCCTTTCTTTCTTTCTTTCTTTCTTTCTTTCTTTCTTTCTTTCTTTCTTTCTTTCTTTCTTTCTTTCTTTCTTTCTTTCTTTCTTTCTTTCTTTCTT